CCCCTACAAGACAAGATAAGGTAAGTCATTAACATAGATTAAGAACAGGAATGGGCCAAGAATCGAGCCCAGAGGAATGCCCATTGATACTACCGACTGCTAGTTTTATTTGTCACCCATCATCAAAGGTATAGTTAGTACTATCGTCTGTCTTCGTTTTTGGGAGCATTTCACAAACACCCGGTATATAAATATGTACAAGGATACCTTTGATGATGGGTCACAAAGAAGTTCGATTCCGAGGGAAAAAAAGTCATCTTTTCACAACGTTTTATTAAACTTATTCACGCTCCATCATGTTAGTACAGCGAAATGAAACAATAATTTTATAAAAAAAAATCATGAAAATACTTAAACATAAAACCAGTTTCACTAACTTAAAATAAAATCAGCTAACGTCAATATTCTCGTGGACGCCGAACTCTTATCCAGCTCGGCGTGAAACAAGGCCTACTCACTCTAGCCTTCCCTTTCACACACGCGCTACCACCGCCTGGCAGGCTAGTGTGGTTGGGGATTTTATGAGGATTGGTAAATACGGGGATTTTCAAAATCGATAGTCAGGGTCAAGTCAGTACCTTTTTTCAAGAAATCTAAACACTTATCTTAACATTTTGTTAGGTTACTTAAGAATATCGAATGACTCCCTTTTTTAATTATCGTTATTACACCACATTTAATTTTCGGATTTATTTCGGCAACTTTCTTGTATCATTTAATGCTTTTTATTTTTTTAATTGTTTTATTTTAAAGAAAAAAAATGTTAGTTAAAAAGTAAATCTTATAAAATTCGTTGAAAATTCATTCATTTCTTAAAATAAAATTGAGGGGAATTTGTGGAGAATCTGTTGAAGTTTTGTCCTTAAATTGGGGTATTTCACACGACTTTTCGGGGAATTTCAATTTGCTGGCAACGCTGCCATGTTGCACCGAAATTTAGTTTGCCGGCGACATAAGAATTAGAGGCAGCAATCACTATAAAACTTGCAAGTAATTTTTAATAATTTTGACGTACCTCTTTTCTGCCGACCACCAAAAAGGAGACGGTACTCAATTCGACTATATGTTTTTTTTTTATATGTGTTACCTCATAACTTTTTACTGAATGAACCGATTTGGATGATTATTTTTTATTTGAAAGCGTGAAAATTTCGTGGGGTCCTATATGAATTTGATCAAGGTCAGACCAATAGTTTTTGAGTTATTCTTAATAACTCATATTGAAGTCGGCTGTACAACATTTTAAATTTTAAATTACTAAATTCAAAGTATTGGTCGGATTAAATACGGTAAGTCTATTAAAATAAAGTAAAAGTGTTATTTTTTACATAAATTCTGATATATTAATGAACTGTCAATATTATCATTTATTATCATTTCGTTTCCATTTTCTTATACAAAATCAAAGATAACGATGAAATAGTGTTTATAATTCTGTAAGTGAGTACTGAGTACCCAATTAGGTACGTTTATTAATTTAAATATATTTTTGTAGTAAAGAACTGCTGACGCATTAGGGTACAATTGATTGTGTAATTATATTAAGAATAATAACCATAACTTCTAAATTCCATATGAAGACTACTCGTAGGGATAACTAAACTTATAAATAAAATAAACGTTGGCAATGTCGTAACGGTTTAACGGTCTGTGGAATTGGTCAGTGCTTCAAGTTCAAGGACGTTACGGCGCACGAGGCATTTGTTTTGGCTTTTGGCGGCTTTGCTTACTAATTTTAGTTTTTGAGACAGTTCCGTGTTGACTATCACGTACGCCTGAGCGACAGTTCAATTGTTTTGTTTATTAAATTCTTGTTGTTATTAATCTTGTTGTTACGCTTTGTGTTTCTCGTTTTGTTTTAATAATGCCTAACGTGTAGATACATTTATAGTGTTCGTGAATACGGCAACATGTTAATGTGCCTTGGAGAATGTCATAAGGCCACGGAGGATTTAGATCGGTAAGCTGTTTCATACCTATTTTTTTTAAATAACTTAGTACTGAACTCATCTGAATAGGTACATAACTGAATACATCAGAATTATAAACATACCTACACGATGGATAAAAAATCATGACTCTAAGCTTGTTAACATTTCATTTAAGTAATTTTTTTATTAGCTGGGAATTGAACCAGGTATTTGGTTCATTTAACCTTGAATAAAGTGGCTAGGTGGTGGTAGTAGTAGTTAGGTATTTGGACAAGAGTTTTAAATTATTAGATATTCTGGTACCATTGCTAGCTGCGGTCCGCGCGAATTCGGCGTCCGGGCATACATTGAACCCTAGTCCGCTGATTGTAATTCCACTGCTGGTTTTATGTTTACGTATTTTCATGATTTTTTATGAAATTATCGTTTCATTTAGGTGTACTAACACGATGAAGCGTGAATTAGGTTAATAAAACGTTGTGAAAACATGATATTTTTTTCTCGGGATCAAATTTATTTGTGACACTTCATCAAAGGGTTAGTACTATCGTCTGTTTTCATTTTTGGGAGCGTTTCTTAGACACCCGGTATAAATATATATATTCTTCCAGAAGCGGCCCCACAGGAAGTGGACCTGGTCGAGCCCCGACGGTTCGACAAAAAATGAGATTGACTTCATATGACGACCAGACGACAACTGTTCAGTGATGTCTCAGTGATCGCGAGGGTGAAAACCGGCAGGAATCAACGAATGGTCAGAGGCACACTGAACCTAAACGTTAAGTTGGAGAGGTCTCGTCTAATGAAGTCAACGATCCGTCCGTCTCGTGCTCTAATCCAAAGTCCCGAAACTTTTCAGCTCGAGTTACAAAACCGTTTTCAGTGCCTAGAAGATTGCAATGAGGTGGACGATATGAATGACAAGCTTGTGGAAACTGTCCATGCGGTCGGAGCTAAGTTCTGCAAGACCCGCTGAAGAACACAAAAACTCTCCGATCACACTCTTAATCTCATGGTTGTTAGACGGGAGATGAAGCTATATTCTTCAACAGATTTCATAGCATACAGGCAACTGAACAGACAGATCTCCAAATGCATGCGGCGGGACTTACGCAACTTCAATACAGCTCTTATTGAAGAAGCGATCGAGCGGAACCAAGGCTCCAAAGTCTTTGCCAGAGATCTGTCTGCCACAAAGCGCCAACTGTCAAAGCTGAAGACAGAATGTGGCAGCATCGTTTCCGGGGCACCTGAGATTTTGAGTGAGATTGAGAGGTTCTATGGGCAGCTGTACACGTCATGGTTGGAGCCATTTTTCCGATGATATCCCGGACGTCAGTCTGAGCGAGATTAGAATGGCCCTCCAGCACCTTAAAAACGGCAAGGCCCCAGGCGAGGATAAAATTACAGCGGAGCTTCTGATAGCGGGTGGAAAACTGGTACTTGAAATCCTTCTGAAGCTCTTTAATTCCGTCCTCCATGGTGGCATTATACCGGAGGCGTGGAGCAGAAGTGCGGTGGTCTTGTTCTTCAAGAAAGGCGACAACGCTCTCTTGAAGAACTACAGACCGATTTCCCTTCTGAGCCGCGTCTACGTGCTGTTTTCGAGAGTCATTACGAATCGCCTCGCGCGCACACTTGACGACTTCCAGCCTCCCGAACAAGCCGGTTTCCGAAAAGGCTTTAGCACCATAGACCACATACATACCCTTCGGCAAATTGTACACTAGTCAGAGGAGTACAATTTGCCTCTATGTCTGGCGTATGTGGACTATGAGAAAGCCTTTGATTCCGTCGAAATTTGGACGGTGCTCCAGTCCCTTCAACGGTGTCAAGTTGACTGTCGGTATATCGAAGTGCTGAAGTGCTTGTACAGTACACACCCTTCGGCAAATTGTACAGAAGACAGATGAGTACAATCTGCCACTTTGCGTTACGTATGTGTGCTATGAGAAAGCCTTTGATTCCGTCGAAATTTGGGTGGTGCTGCAGTCCCAGTTGATTGTCGGTATATCGAAGTGCTGAAGTATTTGTACAGTAGAGCTACCATGGCTATCCGAGTACAGAACCAGAGTACGAAACCTATCCAATTGCAGAGAGGTGTAAAACAGGGTGACGTCATATCCCCGAAACTCTTCACCGCTGCATTGGAAGACGTTTTCAAGCTTCTGGATTGGAAAGGATACGGTATCAATATCAATGGCGAGTACATCACTCACCTTCGATTTGCCGACGATATAGTCCTTATGTCAGAATCGCTGGAGGACCTAAGCACTATGCTCAATGATCTCAATAGTGTCTCCCAACGGATAGGTCTTAAGATGAACATGGACAAAACAAAGATTATGTTTAATGTCCATGTCACACCTATGCCGGTATTTGTTGGGAGTACTAAGTTCGAAGTTGTTGACGAGTATATTTACCTGGGACAAATAGTCCGACTAGGTAAGTCCAACTTCGACCGAGAGGTCAATCGACGGATTCAACTCGGCTGGGCAGCGTTCGGGAAATTACGGCACATCTTCTCGTCAGGTATACCTCAAAACTTGAAAACGAGACTGTACAACCAGTGCGTGTTGCCAGTGATGACATACGGAACTGAGACGTGCTCCTTCACTGCTGGCCGGATGAGGAAGCTCAAGGTCGCTAAGCGAGCTATGGAGGGGGCTATGTTCAGAGTTTCTCTGCGTGATAAACTTAGAAATAAGGATATCCGCAGTAGAACCAGAGTGACCGACATAGCCCAACGGATTAGTAAGCTGAAGTGGCAATGGGCCGGCCATATAGCTCAAAGAACCGACAACCGATGGGGAAAAAAGGTTCTCGAGTGGCAGCCTCGTACCGACAGGCGAAGTGTTGGGTATCCCCCCACTAGATTGAGTGACGACTTGGTGAGATGTGCAGGAAGTCGATGGATGCAGGTGGCTCAGGACCGTGCTTTGTGGCATTCCTTGGGGGAGGCCTATGTTCAGCAGTGAACTATACTAAAATGCCTCCTAAATATAAATAAATCTTATTAACTATAAGTACAAAGAAAACAAATAATTTTATTATAAACTTATATTAAGATCAGTCATACTCATCATCTACATCATGTCTGACTATAGGTTTGAAATTTTCGGAACTTTTTGCGAAAAACTTATGTACAACTGTTTCGTGGTCACCTTCTGTACTAAATTCGTGTGTCTCATCATGTCCATGTTTTCTGTTAAATAATCGGTGGAATCCATTAACAATGCCCTTTTTTATATTAAGTATGTAATCTTTGAATCCAGGTTTATGATAAACATTGTTATAGAAGCCAGAGTTTAAAGGAATATTTGGTGTGTTGTCGTACTCGGCTTTGATGTGAAGTATACTAAAATAGTTTTTCTTTGCTTTTGCGACAGATTCATTGTCATTATTAAAAGTAGCTTCCTCAATAAAACCATTATTAGGTTTATTATTGTTATTGAAACTTGCAGGGGTCCCAGTGGTGTTTGGAACATTATTATCTGATACACTTGCGTTATTTAATGGTCTGGGTGTAGTGTAATTACTAATTACAGGACCGATTTTAGTACTTGTATTTGGTATGTCAACTACAATCTCTGTAACTTCATAAGTTGCAGGTTTTGAAGTACTTGTAGTTATGTTATAATTCTGTAATGTTTTAACTACGTTTTCTTTGTCTGATACTCTATCATCATATGTATAATCATAATAATCATCGTAATAGTGTTCATTGGGTTGTTCTTCTTTTTGCTTACGGGAAGCTAGCACAAAACTAGCAAAAGCGACCTGTAAATGAATATCAAAAATGTTGAAATATAATTAGTTAATAAATCGTACTAGCTACACTATGAGGAAGTGACTTTCTGCCGCTAAGAAGCAGTGTATTCATCGTAGTTTTTCGGTTTGTAGGGAATGGTTAGCCTGCATTATTAATTACAGGGAGGATGATACTGGTATTTAGGCCCGTATTAATAAACGTTACTCAGCTCAAGTACACGCACTTGAGTGCAGTCTTGAGGTTATGATCTTATTAATAAACATATCTCAAGATGCGGTTTAGGTTTACAATATCAACTGAGTGCCACACTGATTAATAAACGAAACTCGACTCTCAAGTGTGTGTACTTGAGTGCAAGTAATAGAACAGTTTTCCTAAGTACAGCGATTTTACATACTTTTTTATGTGTTTATTAATTAGCAACGATCTTGAGATGCTGATATCGTAATGAGGGCGTATCAAATGATTACGCACTTGAGTTCGTCGTTAAGTAACGTTTATTAATACGGGCCTTAGTCTTCAGACAACGCATCATACACATAGCCTTCTTGTTAAAAGTTGGACCTTTCGCCTCCCACGGACAAGTTTCGATGAGAATTAGTACCCGTGACTTATTTACTATAGTTGAACTGGAACGTACATGGCTGGCCAGTGATGTTTGTTGTATGATTTCGCATTTTGTGTGTGATTAGGCTAAGAGGTGTGGGGGTGGGGGTCTCTCCTTTGCCTTCCGCAGCCGAAATAGAGAGACGGGGAAGGTCGGGCTATAGCGCTAATGCGGCAGCGGCGGTGGATGGAGTTGTTAGGTGGTGAGTGCAAAACCAATATCTTCATGCTGGTACTGCTCCCATTATCTACAAAATCTCTGTTTAGAATTATTACAAGGATTTCCTATCATCAGATCATCAGATTGTCGCCAGAGCTGAGTTGGTTAACTAGCAGGGTGCACCGTGAACAGGTAAGGTCCGAATCCGAAAATTGTTTTTAACCTCGTAGAGCAATTTATTTTAAAATTAATATTTTTATTTTAACAACAATTGCCACCAGGTGGAATTATAGTTAAGGACTGGCTATAATAATTTAAAAAGAAACAGTTGCCATACTTTCTTTTATAGAATATGGGTGACAAGCGAGCACAGAGTCCGCCTGATGGTAAGTGGTTGCTGTAGTTCATAGACATCTACATCTATCCTCGATTACGAATCAAAAAGCAGATGCGTTGTCACCCGTGAGGACTAAGATGGAATGCCTCGTTTCCAGTAAAAAGGGTCTCCGGTTCTCTACACTCACCATACGAAACACAGCAACGTTAAGCTGCTATTTTACGCTGGTGTTCTGTGAGAGCGTGGTCCTTCCCCGGTCGAGCAGAACTATTTATGCTTCAACTATACCAGTAATATAGCTGCATAGCTCTACCAGTTATAAATACACGTCACAAATGCAATATATCACATTTTACCGATTTCCTTCAGTAAGATTTAGTTGTAGATTCAAAATGTCTTTAAACATATTATGCAGTAAGTTTTCCGGCATTTCAAGTAAAGTGTGTAGGGGCGGTGTAAAAATATTCACTAGCCTATATCATCCCGTGGCTGTCGTAAGAGGCGATAGAGGGAAACTGAAAAAGTAGATGAGCAACAGCATGTTTCTGATAACAAACGAAAATAATAAAAAAATGCCATTGCTAACTCGTTTGCCAAGAGGGGCAACTATGACGATATCCCCCCTAGAAGTGAAAGTATGGAGGTGACCTTCATTCAGCAGTGGCCTTTTGTTAGGCTTTAATGAATTGAAGTAAGGACCAAATACAGTAAGCCGATAATAAGTGATGTTAATTGAAAAAGTAATTAAAAAAAGAATCAAAATTCTAAAGAAAATTGATGTCACCCGCAAGTACTGGACCCAAGAATGACGAATATCTAAAAATTGTTTGACGTTTAAATACAAAACAAAGCTGTAACATAACAACAGTTAAAATTCTTTCCACAATTTGCGAGTAGCTTTTATCGGTTGTAAAGTCAATTAATAAAAACCATCTTCACTTAATGCTTGTCGTACCGAAAGTTATTGGCCGCCTTTTATAACAATAATATTGTTACCGAAATGGCATTTAATAACATAATATACTGTTCACCATTTTATGTCAAGGAAAGCACTGAGTCTTGTAAGTAAAGGGGCGTCACCATTGTTTATTGAAATGAATTTTGTAGAAATCTTCTATTAAATATTTTCTATCATGAAATGAAATAAAATAACTCTTTATTTTTCGACGTAAGATACTAAAATTTCCTTTGTCAAACATCACCGTGTATTATAATCTACTACCGCTTCAAAACTCGCTCTGTCTGGACAAAAACAGCGAAACAAACTCCGCAGGTATTATACCCGGTTGATCAATAAGTTTTTGGAATATATCCTATTCAATGAGTTATTCCCTTATCAATGAGTTATAGAAATACGTAAAATTTTTTGTAACCAAGACCAGAAAAAGCTAATTTCAAAACTATACCCAATTTCTTTTCAAATTTTACATTTGGCGGGAATCTCATTCGCATGCGAAGTGGAGAAACTCGATTTTCGTGCCGTTTTTCTTAAATATTAGTAACACGACGACAGAAGTCAAATGGCGGATTCGAACCCACGACCTCTCGAGTTCGCGGTTTGCGCCCTGCCATTAGGCTACTGACGCTATATATTATTAAATATTTCTACCTGAAACTTTTTTCTACAAAAGTTGTTTTTGAAAAACGGCAGTCTTCTTTGGTAGACAACGCTCAGTCTTATTCTACAGTGCCATACTGGTGCGCTGAATTTAAACGCGGCAGAAGTACCTGCAATGACGACTTGCTCCGGGCGGCCAACAAAGGCCGCTACGCAAGAAAAAAATTAAAAATCGAAAAATTGCTATGTCCTCGCAAGTTAACCGACGCCCAAAAGAAAGCAAGAGTTCATTCAAAACTACATCTAGTAATAATTGAAGAAGATATGTTTAGTAATGATTGAAGAATATATAGAATAAAAGAAAAAAGTTCGTTAATCTCAGGCGCTAAACACAATTGCGTTTCCTTTCGGGAACCAAGCGCGAATAATATTTATAAGTGATGATGTTCCGCGTACTCGGTGATGGATAATACCCTTCAATGATAATCGCTACGAACTATTTCTTACTCCTAAGCCCTTTCAGAAATTATATGAATCTAAAGACCACCCATGGGAAGTATAAAATACAATTGCTTAACTTGATTGTAGTTTTATTATCAACAGTTGACTGTTTTTGGCTGAAGAGGCTTTAATTTCGCACCCGAAAAAATTAAGCCAATTAAGAAAGAAGAAGTCATATTAAACTACTGTCTGATCTACAAATTACCTACATTCTAAAATATTATCGTGACCGATAGAGAAAGGCTGACAGGCATGACTAACCGGAGCGCTACAAGGAATTGAGATAGGTCACGATTCGCTTTATGAAACACTTTAAAACATGTTATCCTGGTTAGTAATAAGTTTTTAAAACGAACATTTTGAACGGTGTACATTTACGTGCAGATTGTAGGGTTGATTCGCTTTATTCGTTGCGTTAAACAGGCGAATAGATGATAGCAGCACCAGATGTCTCCTTGTGTGACGTGAGACGTGTCCTTGACGCTGCTTGCTCTCCGATGACGGAGCCTAGAGTTTAGGTATATTACACTAGACACTACACGGGGTAAATATTTTGTTTTATAGATTAAGAGTGAAAAGCGAGCGCACAGTTCTTCACCTGATGGTAAGTGGATGCTGTGACCCATACACATCTTTATCTATACTTGATTAAGACTCAAAATGCAGATGCATTTTCGACTCTGAGAACTAAGATTAATGTGTCTCGTTGCCAGTTAAAAGTATCTCCGGTTCTCTACACTCACCGTACGAAACCAAACAGCTTTATTCTGCTGTTTCTTGCTGTTATTCTGTGAGAATGTGCTCGTGCCCTGGTCGAGCCTGACAATTCGTGCTGCAATCATAATATAACAGCAGTGTGGCTCTACAACGTATTAAAATATTGCTTATACGAAAATCCGCCTGAATCAAAATCTACTATCTCTTCAATACTAGAGGCCTATATGGAGATGTCGTAATTCAAAGGTTATCCTTTAATACGTTCGCCTCAATAATACCGGACATCAATGAGATCTTTCTGGCATATTCCGTATAGGTTGTACGTGGTAGAGCCAAGCTACAGCTATATTTATAATATAGTTGTAGCACGAATGGGTCGGCTCAACGAGGGAAGGACCACGCTCTCACAGAATACCAGCGTAAAATAGCAACTTAATGCTGCTGTGTTTCGTATGGTGAGTGTAGAGAACCGGAGACCCTTTTTACTGGAAAAGAGGCATTCCATCTTAGTCCTCAAGGCTGACAACACATCTGCATTTTGACTCGCAAACGAGGATAGATGTAGATGTCTATGCCATAGCAACCACTTACCATCAGTTTATCATATAACAGTTGTTATCTCTTACAACACCCAGGGGACTTATGGAACAATGGATTCTCTCACACGTCTACCACATTTATTTATATTTTTAACTTTACTTATAAGCTTACAACCATATGAAATTTCGGTTTAGTGTTTTAGATGTTATCTACCGACTTCAAAAAGGAGACGGTACTCAATTCGACTGCATGTTTTTTATGTGTGTTACCTTATAACTTTTTACTGAGTGGACTGATTTCGATGATTCTTTTTTTATTTGAAAAGGTGCTTCACGTGTGATCCCATTTAAATTTGATCAAGGTCTGACCATTCGTTTATTGAATTTTTATTAATAATTTATATTGAAGTCGGTTGTACAACATTTTTAAACTTAAATTATTTCGTCACGTAAAGGTTGTATTGATTTTTTAAAACCAATATAGGGTTATCGTTTCCTAAGGATGCGTAACTACACAAACAAAAACGGGTGTCCTTCATAGTCTTCTGACTTCCGAACTCTTGACTTATAAATTCGATACGGCTTTAAAT